ATTAAATATAAAGATAAATATAATTAATTAAAAATAGTTCGTTTTCTCCTCTACAACAAGCTTAAGGCAAACTTTAGATAACTTATAACAGCTTTGCTGTTGCACGTATGGGCCTGCTCAAACCGGGGTGGTACCACGACCTCACAGAATACCGGCGTGAAGTGGAAGCTCTGCTTCCGCGTTTCGTCTGGTGAGTGCATATGGCCGGAAGCCCAAATCCCCCCCCTCCATCAACATGGTAGCGGAATTAAATGATGATAGACTACCCCAGGAGGGTACCAGCACCGCAGGAGAATCCCTCGCTGAGCATCCACGATCATGTTTTTCCACTTCTGAGCGTGGGTGCTCGGGCTGCCCCGCGTATTCTTAGGGAGGGGGGGGGGGGCGAAATTCCGCTCAAGACTACCACTGCTCGGGGCAAACGGAACAACAAAACCAAGGCGACCCCCGCCACGCTGTTCGTGAATTTCTGCAATATCAGGGGACTTCACTCTAACCTAAACGCCGTCCACTACCATCTCGAGACGGCGAGGCCGGCTCTGCTCTTTCTGACCGAGACACAGGTGTCCCCTCCGGCTGATGACTTGTATCTCGCCAACCCGGGGTACAAACTGGAACACTCCTTTGTGCCTCGGGCTGGAGTTTGCGTTTACGTCAGAGAGGACATCTGTTCTCGACGCCTCGGCAGAATTGAAGGGTCGGACCTTTCCATCCTTTGGCTAGGCGTAGACAGCGACGACCATCCCCACGGTGCCTCTATAGGTCCCATAGCGTTAATGCCGAAACAGACCGACTCTTCGACAACGTCCAAATGGCTACAGATTCGTTGCTACAGCAGATCCCTTCCGCAGAGATCGTGATCCTTGGTGACTTTAACGCCTATCACGCCGAATGGCTTGGTTCACGTTTAACCGATCATGCGGGGAGATCTGTTCATGATTTTGCCTTGGCATATGGTCTGACACAACTGGTTACTTCGCCTACGCGGATTCCAGATGTGGAGGATCATGCACCTTCCCTGTTGGACCTTCTGCTGACCTCTCACCCGGACGGATATCAGATTTCCGTTGACGCCCCTTTAGGCTCCTCGGACCATTGTCTTGTTCGGAGTGTGGTGCCACTCACGCTGAAATCGCAGTTGCAATCTGCAGGCTGCCGCCGTGTTTGGCACTATATGTCAGCCGATTGGGATGGGATGCGCTCTTTCTTTGCATCCTACCCTTGAGGGCGGGTTTGCTTCTCGCCGGACGATCCCAACGTTGTTGCGGATTCTGTCACTGATGTGGTGCTTCAGGGTGTGGAACTTTTTATTCCTTCCTCTGTGGTGCCCTTTGGAGGCAAATCTAGCCTGTTGTCGCTCTGTAAAATAGCATCATGCTATAAGCAGGGGTGCTATCGAGCCTGGGCTGACGCGTCAGCGTCCCGGGATGTAAACACCAGCGCTCTAAAAAAGAAGTATAATTCCGCCTCTAGGTCCTTCAAAAGAGTCATTGCTAAGGCAAAGTCAGAGCACATAGGCAGATTTGGCGAGAAACTAGTCCGCCTTCCTTCTGCAACCTGTGCATTCTGGTCTCTCGCTAAGGCTGTCCAGGGGAATTTCTGTCAGCCATCTTTTCCATCTCTGCACAGGGAGGACGACTCACTGGCCCATACCACAAAGGAGAAAGCCGATCTTCTAGGCTCTTTCTTTGCGTCCAACTCGACTCTAGATGACGGTGGGAGTACGCCGCCGACCATCCCGCGGTGTGAGTGCTCCATTTCGGAAGTGCAGTTCACACAGCGGTCGGTTCGCAAAGCACTCCTCTCCCTGGACATCCACAGGTCGAGTGGGCCTGACGGAATCCCCCCAATTGTGCTGACGACGTGTGCTCCATAGTTCGCACTGGTTTTAATGCGTCTTTTCCGGTACTCCTACTCCCTAGGCGTAGTCCTAAAATTATGGAAGACGGCTTTCGTCCACCCGATCCCTAAAAAAGGCGACCGTTCAGACCCGTCCAACTACCGGCCTATCGCCATCACCTCCTTGTTCTCCAAAACAATGGAGTCTATTGTAAACTGCCAGCTCATGAGGTACCTTGAGGATCACCAGCTGTTTAGTGACCGCCAATACGGTTTTTGCCGTGGTCGGTCAGCTGGTGATCTTCTGATCTACCTAACTCACAGATGGGCGGAGGCAGTAGAGTCCAAGGGGGAGGCATTGGCCGTTAGTTTGGACATTGCGAAGGGTTTCGATCGGGTTTGGAACAAAGCGCTTCTTTCGAAGCTCCCTTCCTATAGGCTTCCCGAGAAATTGTGCGATTGGATCACCAGCTTTCTTGCAGATTTGGGCATCGAGGTCGTTGTAGACAGTGCAAGCTTCGATTGCAAGCCTATTAATGCTGGTGTTCCACAAGGCTGCGTGCTATCGCCAACGCTGTTCCTTCTGCATATCAATGATATGTTGCAAACCCGTAACATTCATTGCTATGCAGATGACAGCACTGGTGACGCTCTTTACACCAGCCGAGCCAATATTTCTCGGGAAAGCGTCTCCGAGTGCCGGGACAAACTTGTGTCTGAAGTCGAGTCTTTGCTGAACAGAGTCTCGGATTTGGGGCGACTAAATCTAGTCCAGTTTAACCCCCAGAAGACACAAGTTTGCGCGTTAACCGCTAAAAAGAACCCCTTTGTCGTATCTCCTTAGTTTCAAGGCACTCCCCTTGTTGCCTCAGCCAGTATCGGAATTCTCGGCGTCGACATATCGAGTGACGTGCAGTTTCGTGGTCACTTGGAAGGGAAGGCCAAATTGGCCTCTAAAAAGCTTGGCGTGCTCAGCAGAGCGGGACAGTATTTCATGCCGGCACACCGCCTGCCAGTTTACAACGCGCAGGTTCGGCCGCACATGGAATACTGTTCCCATCTCTGGGCTGGGTCTCCCCAGTACCAGCTTCTTCCACTTGACCGCATCCAGCGCAAAGCGGACTCGAATCGTCGATGACCGAGTGTTTTCCGATCGGCTCAATTCACTGGCACTGCGAAGAGATGTTGCATCTCTTTGCATTTTCTTTCGCATATACCATGGAGAGTGCTCTGAGGAATTGTTCGGATTAATCCCAGCCGCCAAATCTCGTGAACGCACTACGCGGCAAACGTCGCGATACCATCCACATCATCTGGATGCTTGGCGGTCCACCACTGTATGTTTCAAGAGGAGTTTTCTTCCGCGTACAACTTCTTTGTGGAATAGTTTATATTTTTCCGGACCGATACGACCTGGGGACCTTCAAGAAAAGAGCGTACTCTTTTCTAAAGGGCCGGCAACGCACCTGCAAATCCCCAGGTGTTGCGGTTGATCAAGGGCGGCGGTAGTCACTTAACATCAGGTGAGCCGCATGCTCGTTTGCCACCTCTTCTATAAAAAAAATATTTATTTATTAATAATCTAGTTCTTTTGATGCATGTTTAGGCCAAAACTCTGAATGACATGATTTGGAAGCTCTAATTTATAGATTCTATTAAATATCGACCATCGAAAAAAAATATTCTTATCTCACAAATAATCCATACTTTAACATGTATTAAATACATTTTATATATATGTCTTTCACGTAAGGGAAAAAAATCGACACAATTCAATTATCTACCAAAAAAGCTTCGATACAAGCCCCAATATCTTCAAAGTTCTACATAATTTTGACGTAAAATTTATACCAAAATAATCATTAACAATATCTTAAACTTAACTATGAATTTTACTTTTTAAATCGTTGCTATTATTTTTAATTAACTTAATAAATATTATATATTTCACTGCGCCGGCCCTGTGCGTTCAATAGAGCGCGAACGCTCATCTGGGTCGGACCTGTATCATTTTATTTTGCACATTACACATACATTTTCGTCTCGTTTCGATATAATCGTATTGTGCGTCGATAGCGTAGCTGGCGTTGCCAGGCGTCCGGATAAAGCCGGACACAGTCAGGCATTTTTGTTGCGAGTCCGACCATATTAGACGTTGTCCGGCCCGTCTGGCTTTCGTTCGGCTTTTTAGAAGACAATCGTTTTTGGGCCATCTAGATATTATATATTTTATTATATATATATATATATATATATATATATATATATATATATATATATATATATATATATATATATTGCCGTATGATTGTTAATTTCTCGGTATTCCCGTTCAGTGCGGTAAAACTAATATCACTAGTGTAATCTAGAGTTATAAGTAATAAATCTACGTGCATTTCATTGAGTTACGTCACAATTAGTGGTGAGCCGATTCTCAATACAAAAAGAAATTATCTTTTTCACATACTTACGTACATAATGTTGCAATTATTTAAATTAATATTTTAATGAATATCAGCCGTATAGTGGCGGTTGAGAATATCCACTACCCCCTATCTTCCACGCGACAGAGGGACACAGAAAGGAGATGGGCGGCAGCATATTCCTAATAACAACAATAATATAATAAAAAACTGCGGTTGCCAACCCGCTCGCCAAGCGTGGAAACTATGGCAAATATCCCCCCATGAGCAACGAGGCAAATAAACGGCCCCCAGTCTCCAGCGGCCCCGCTATTCCTGGCTACGGTGGCGACCATGGTAACGGCGGGGCAGGGGGAGCTAAGAATCTTTTTTATATCTCTCACTTAGCTTCTTTAAGCTTTATTTGGCCATCATAGCAATCGATTGGCATTTCTCTTAAAATTCTTGAAACTCCAGTTCGGTATAGTGCAAAACGATTCAAGTTTTTACTCATCATAGATTGTGTCATTTCAGGCTTTCCATTTTTTCTAAACATTACCTGCCAACAGGTTGATATACCTGGATTTGAAGCTCTTACGCGTCCAGTGAATAATCTTTTATAATCTTGAACTTGAACAACCCTCGCAGCTGAGTTTTCGTTTAGGTTTCTCTGCAGGAATACAATGCTGAATTTATTTGTATTTTTGCAGTTTAATTTCATTTCAATGTAGGACACCGGAGTATATACTTTTTCACATTTTATTCTTTTCTTTCGATCAACGCGAAATCTCTGTCGATTGGCATCATGGAGTGCCCGGGTATCGGGAAGTATATAGAAGCCGTTTCGAATTTGCCGAGGGCACACAAGTTATCTAAAAATGCAAACACATATTTATTCTTGTTTTGCCCGTAACAGTTATCACAATATATTTCAAGTTTTATTTGAGTAGGCTTTTTATTTGTATCGATAAAATCTGATAATGCTGAAATTACTTCGTTTGGCCCTTTTAAGGCATAGTTTTCGGTGTACAAATACATAGTAGCTGTATTATCATTTAAACTTTGGATCCCAAAGTTATGCATCCACAACTGGCGTAAATAATATTCGTCACCCACATTTGTCACGGGTAACGGTAAGTTTTTCTGAAAATCAATACAGAGTGCCAATTTCGTTGCATCTTTTTCTTTTTCTGTATTGGTCAATCTTTCCAAAAATATTTCTGCCTTTCTTAAGTGCAATTCTTTTTCTTTCTGCAATCTTGTTTTTTCTTCTTCGTTGTTATTAGCTTCTGCAGCATCTGTATTGACTTTCAGTTTTTCGCAAGTATGGTAAATGCATTTACAAGGCTGTCTGAAGCTGTAACAGTAATCAGTATTGAAAACTTCTATAACATTTTCGTATGTTTTTTCTGGATAATCAGTCAAAAATTTAAGGTGTAACAAGGCAATGGTAAGATTGGAATTTAAAAATTTCCTATGTTTATTAGATGATCTGGAATAATGCGATTCTCTTGACGGAAAATTATTGAGAAATTCATGAATTTTATCCATTGTATTGCTGTCACAAGTTGGATGATTTGCGTGCCTGCCTCTTCCATCCTGTATGTCTTTTTCTTTGTGCTGTATTTTTCGTTTCAATCTGTCCCTTTTAATATATGGCTAGAAAAGCTTGTTGGTAAACAATTATTGACTTATTAACCATACTTACACAATATTTAAATACTCTCCGGTTTTTGGCTTCTTTTGAGCTCATTTTTGTTTTCCGTGGTCTATATCTTTTTGGAACAGCATCGAAAAGACATCCTTGCATATAAATATTTTGTTCGGTGTGGCTAGAAATGTTGATGAAGGAGCTAAAAACTGTTCTGCATTCATTATCATTAATTTTTCCTTACTTTGCACCTGCATTTTGGAATGGGTCGCATTTCATGATTCTTCAAATTGTTCTTAATTTTTTTGTTTTTCTCCCACTTTGTAGGGTTTCGTATCCTCTTTTTTCCGATTTTTAAATCATTGGCACTTTCACTTTCCTGTACATCTTTAAGTTCTTCTAAAACTCCAGTCACAGGGTTAATAAGATGATGTAATACTTCTCTTCCAGTTTGAAGTGGATCTGGCTCTAACAATTCGGTTTCTGGGTTCAGTACATAGTTTTCAACATCGTCATTAGGTTGTTCTTCTCTCCCAGTATGAAGTGGAGGGGGCTCTAACAATCCGGTTTCAGGGTTTAATGTATAGTTTTCAACATCGTTTTCAAAATCATTTTCAAGCCCCGTTTCAAAACCAAGGAATCTGTCTTTGGTCCCATTATTTTGTGCCAGAACTAATATAGAAGTACTGTCATTACTGTCACCATAATCAATGTTATTTGCAGATTCAACCAAAGCGACTGTTTTTGCAGCCACTTCTGTCTCATCTTCATGCAATCTATAAACCGAAGCCAAGCATGAGCAAAAACAAGAAAGTAAACAAGAAAACTTTAAAGATTCTGGCATAATGTTTCTCATCATATCAGCCAAAAGACTTCCACTACTGGACTGCAGTGTGGGCAGGCCCTCCACAAAGTAACATGTTTTTTATAAACCAAAGCTAAGCATGAGCATAAAACAAGAAAGTAAACGAGACAACTTTAAATATTCTGGCGTAATATTTATCATCTTAATAGCCTAAAGATGGTCCACTGTTGGACTGCAGCGTGGGCAGGCCCTCCACAAGATAGCATAATGTTTTTCTTCCAATTGTATTTTTAGTACGTTTTTGTGTATTACGGGTTATCATGATAAAAATAAAAATATTTACCTCTGCTCCTCAGTAGGATGGGCGCTGCTTGTTGTAATCAAATCATTGCCGCTAATCATATTTATTTCTATCTCATCTATCTCAGTATTCTCACTAGCATGTAAACTAAAAGATAATATTGATTATATGAACCAAACGAAAAAATATACATAAAAATTCAACTAGAAACAAGGTAGGTATGTAATCAAAATATTAATTATTAACTGACTTCATATAACCTAATATTATATTTTAAGTACTTACATACATATTATTATGTACTAACCTGACATTTTCTTGATGTTCTTCTTCCAAAACAGCATCGTTAGAAAACTCTAACAATCCAGAAACTTGTAAAAGTCTGAGAAATAAGGCAAAAATGTAATTAGGTCCCATGATTTATTTAATAGAATAAAACAATGTGCAATCCACAGGTACTTACTTAGCCAGCTTTTCTTCAAACTCCATTTTAATATTTTACAATATATTTTCACAGAACAGCAACAAAACACCCCGAAAAATAGAAAATAATACTGTTAAACAAAAAGAAAGGGCGTTATTTTTTCAAATAATGACGTGGTGTGACAATAAAAAGGACTTAGTGACATTTAAAATTAAAACTAGTGTTATTGGGACTAAGGAACTTCTTGAACTGAATCACGTGGACTTAGGGCATAAAATACATTTTAAAACTACCACTTAGGAACTTGTTACAAATGCCTTAAACAGACAGAACCATAGACAATGAGCTGTTATTTATTATGGTGTAGCCAATACATAAAGTTCCTAAGTGGACTTGGGGACATCTTGAAATTGGCCATCCAACTATCTTTGAATTTTCTTAACCCTAGAACCGTACCTATAATAGACTTTAAATAACAGTACCCAGGGGTTCTAGTGTACCCCGTTAAATAAAACATTTTTTTACATAAGAATGGACATTTATTAATAATCAACATACATAGTCTTTTATGGTACTTATTTCAGTCTCACGTTACATAATTAAACAAAAAATTAACAAACTTAAATTAACAATTTTGGCAAATTTTTTTCTAAACATATAAAACTTTTACATTTTTCACATCGAGTGCGTGATTTACGATCTTTTGACCTGGGACAAAATGAACATCTACCAGATTTTGAATCTGAAGGTAATGGAGCACTAGAAGGTCGTGTTTTTTCTAAAATATCGCCAATACTTATTTGTAGATGCATAGGCAAAGTTTTATATAAAAATCGGTCCTCCAAATAAGGTTTTATAAGGTCAAAAGCTAAGGCCTTCAGAAAACTCCGTCTGTTCTTGAAAACTTGTTTACCATTGGCTTTTGATGAATGCAGTAATATCATGGAGTTAATTCCCACAATGTTCAAAATTCCGTAGAATACACAAAGGCTCCAGCGACAAGTTTTGCGAGAAATACTGTACGTATGACAAAGCTGATAAAAAGTGTCCACTCCTCCTTTCGTTTGATTATAAAAACTTATTATTTCTGGTAAATCAACAGATTTGTCTTCGTCTGGTTGATAGTGCATAGTAGAAAGCATAATCACGTTTTTCTTTTTTCCTTTACTTAGCTTTGGAGGCACATATGATAACAAAGTAAGTTCGTCATGAACGGCAAACATTGATGTGTTCTTGAGGCGGTTTTTGGTTTCCAAAAAATGAGTAGGGATTTCTGTTTTGTTTCTTTTCATTGTTCCAACTGTTGTAACATTTTTGGTTAAGAGTTTTTCGGCAGCAGGGATTGAAGTAAACAAGTTATCGTGCGTGATATTTCTATTAGACCCATGAATAGAATTTGAAAGCTCTAATGCGTAATACTCAGCCACTGGTAATTCACGTGGTGTAGAATCTTTTCCAGTGTATATTATACTATTTATCATGTAATAAGATTTTGCATCACAAAACATTAACAGTTTTATTCCATATTTATCGGGTTTTGATGGAATATACATACGGAATGGGCATCTACCGCGAAACCCAAGTAATTGCTCGTCAATCGTTGTGCAATCTGAAGGTGAATAAAGACTTTTTGAAGTTTCAACAATGTGATCAAACAGTTCTTTTATTGGTGCCAATTTACTATGTTGTCTTCTTTCAGCTCTGGTCGAACGATCATCAAATCGAAGACAATTTGTCAAAAATTCGAATCTTTTCTCACTCATAGTAGACCGAAAATAGTTGATGCCCGTATTTTTATCTAATATTTCTTTGACAGACAAGTGATTAATTTTTAAAACTCCAGCTAAATAGTATAAGCCAAAGAGAGCTTTTAATTCGGTTACGGTTACATCTCGGATAAAAGAAGGTCGAATACTCGTAGAAACAGAATTATCATCATCATCATCATTTTGAGATGTTATTAGCCTGTCTGACTTATACTTCTTGCGCTGTTCAGATATCTCAAGATTAGTATTAGTTACTATCATATGCAAAATCTCATCCGTAAAAAATAATTTCCAACTATCTAAGGCACTAGTAGTAAATTTAGCAAGAGCTTTATTTCCTGGTGCATGAAATATTATATTTCTTTGTGGAGTACGCGAGGAACGGCGACGAGTCCCATACCATAGAAATTTTTCGCTAGTTCTTTGCTTTTTTGTTCCTTTACCTCGCAAAACTTCGGGTACTGTAAGAACTGTCACTGGAGAATTTGTGATTCTAACCTGGACAATATCCTCTTCAACTTCTTCTTCCGAACTTTCAAGATCTGTTTCATGGTTAGAGCCATCCTCTTCGACAGGAACCTGTTCATCGCGAAAATCGGGAATAATTTCATCCAGTTCATCTTCTAATTCATCCCCAAGAAACACTTCATCTTCATCACGAACGTCCAGAAGGAGGTTTTGAATTTCATTTTCTGAAAGGTTTTTTCTTGACGCCATCTAAAAAGAAGAATTACAAAAAATTCGTTACTAAACAAAATAACGTAAATAAAATTGTATAAATATTGCAAATAAATATTAAGTACAAACACATCGTATGCAGACAAAGTTACTTCTAAGGTAATATTGCAATGTTAAAATTAAAATCTTGAATCAAACAAAAAAATAGCATAGCTGTAACCAGGGGTGCTGGAGTACCCCACACACGCGTTGCCACGATTGCACGCTAACAGAACTCGCGCCCGACTAATGCTTCGACACAACCCCCCGTCCCCCATAAATACGCGCCGGTGCGAAAAGATCCGTTTTAAAACAAAAAAAGTTATAGCTAATTTTAAAAATATTTTTTCAGTTGTACCCCAGGGTACTGTTCTAGGGTTAAAAGTGTAAATGCGGACTTAGGGACATCTTGAAATGGGCCATCCAATTTTAAATTCAACAATATTGCGTACATAACCCAGTAGTGCTGAGCGAAACTAAATCTATTAAGGAACCTAGGCGCGAACAAACTAGAGTGTATTGTCTAAATTGGTTTAGCATTTCGACTCGATCAGGCCACAGGACGCCAGTTTCAAATCCGGGGCGAATGGACCACAAAATGTTGGAGCTAATGGTTGATTATTTTCAATCCGGAATGAAGGGCCACAAAATGGTTAAGTCACGGAGTTTTGGGTTCGATTTCCGGGAACAATGGCCTCAAATTATTGGGTAAGAAATGTAACTAAAGTAGATCACATTCAGCGTGGTTGGCTATAACCCAAACAAAATAGCTGACGTGGCATGTGGCAGGTTTTGGACAATGCACTTACTATGAATCAATTTACTATATTTAACCGGTACGACAGGAGCAAATGTGAGTTGCCAGCAAAAAACACAATAAAGGACAAAAAAAAAACAATATCTATGGAAATGAGAACTTACCGGGGTTTGTCTTCTGACGGCCTCTTACTCAGGCCTCGAGGTTGATAGCACTGCATTGCAACTAGACGAGCAGCAGCGGTGCACGTCCTTTTCCTCTCGGCCGTATCCACTTACATCTAAGCGGAGCGCACCTCCCATTGCACGCAAAAATGACGCCACCTATCTAAGCCTCCCCCCCCTTTCAGGCCCGTGCGGAAGGTAAATGGATGTGATTGGAGAATGTACCGGCTAATTACTAGCTAACTGAATAAAATACGAGGGTAATCGTTATCCGCGCAATCATATTAAAAATTATGTTATATGGTACTGAGAACTGTAATTCAGCGCGCAGAGCGAGCATCTCAGTTGATTTACATCAAGAGGTGTAAAACAAACGCTAGAGCGTGGGCACCTCTTTGCCACCTCTTGGATAATTATAACATACACTTCACAGAATGTAATATTTTTTCTGTCGTTTTTAAAATATATAAGAATGATAATTTAGTTGCTGATGATAATGATTTATAAATTATGTAATAATTAGCATAATTTCCTACACTCTCATAGATTGTGCAATTGTTTTAAACATAAATCTAAGCATATAGTATTATTTTGTGGGCATAGGTGTGGGTTACACGTTAAATACTCCTATAAATCAATTGTCCTGTATTACATTAATGTGTAACTGTTTTTTTCCCAATAAAATAAAATAAAAAAATCAATTTGAACGAGTTTAGCGAATAGTGGTCCTAAGAGTCAACACAAACTCTTTCTGATCAGCTTGATTCACTTGCGCTACGAAAGTATTTGCATCTTTTTGAATTTTCTGTCGTATTTACTACAAGAAATTAGTGTCTTTCCGTTAAGAAAATCACTTCTACATTTCTACATTCTTCTTCAAGTTCTACATTCTTCATCCTCTTCAACATTAATATAAAGTCTTAAGAAAAAAATATCAGACCCTTCAAAAAAAAAAAACAATTAATTATAGTAATAATAATAATAATAATAATTCTTTATTGACATTCATAGTTTACAATTTGAAATGGGTAGAAACCTGAGTCTCCTAGCTAGGTTACTGAGTAACCTGTATTTAGGAGATACAGTCCCATCCCCCCTGTTTATTAGGAATACGTAGTTGTATTGTTTAAAATTATTATAATTTTTTATATGGAAATAGTATTTATACAATTTTAGAGACATAATAAAAATGATCTCTCTCTGTGTGTGTGTGTGTGTGTGTGTGTGTGTGTGTGTGTGTGTGTGTGTATGTGTGTGTGTGTGTGTGTGTGTGTGTGTGTGTGTGTGTGTGTGTGTCAGTGAATGTATATGTAATACTTATACTACTACTACTAATAAATATATAACAATGCGACGTAATTTTATAACAATGTTAACAAGTATTGCTCTGTATCATCATATGACTTATTTAGCAGGAAAGAGCGGACAGAAGTTTTACAATTAAATGTTGACATTTCGTAAATCTCTACTTCCGCATTTATTTTGTTGTAAAGTAAAGGACCTAGATAATAAAAAAATCTTTTTACAAATGAAAAATTGGCTAGCGGAAGTGTGCATACTTTGTCTTTACGCCGTTTAGAAATTACAATGAAAGGAGTCTTATTATGCTGAAGTAATACTGTGTGCAGTATAAAGAGCTGCCTCACACTAAGAACAGCGCAGTTTTGATATAGATGAGTAGTTGGAAATAACATTGGTTTGAAAGTAGCAACCTTTAAGATAGCTCTTTGCGCAACTTCAAGTGGCTTTAATATTGTTTTTGCAACACCACCCCAGCAAGAAATGCAATATGTGATGATAGACTGACATAAAGCATAATAAACGTTGCGTATAATTATGGAATTTGCAACATATCGTAGTGTTTTAAATATATATATTAGTTTGCGAACTTTACTCGTTAAGAGATTTATATGCATTTTAAAATTAAGGTGTTTATCAAGTACAATACCTAGATACTTTATATTGTCTACAGAATTTATCTGTGGACACAGACAAGGCGAAGACTGTATGGAACAAGAGTGAGCTTTCAACTTGATGGGAATATTTGGTTGCGAGGTGGGACTGATAGAGAAAGTTATAAATTTAGTTTTGGAAGTATTAAGAGTAAGAGTGTGAGATAAAAGCCAATTATATATTTGATTAAAACTACGTTGTGATATATTTTCAAGATCTTTCCAAGATGTTGCATAGAAAGTAATAGCTGTATCATCTGCAAAAGAGACTATTTTTGCGTTATCAATGTGAAGATTGCACAAGTCATTAATAAAAACAAGAAATAGAGTTGGGCCAAGAATACTTCCCTGTGGGACACCATAGGTAACAGGGAGTTCGTCACCGATGCAGTCCGATATTTTAACCATTTGAGTGCGATTTGTAAGGTAACTTCTGAAAAAGTCTAACTGTAAACCTCTGACACCAATTTTCTCTAACTTAGCTAAAAGAGTAGATACAGGAATTGAGTCAAAGGCTTTTGCTAGATCTAGAAATATTGTTAGGACCTTTTTATGACTATTTAGATTAGTGACTATGAAATTTATTAATTCATGAACTGCGTCAGAAGTTGATTTATTTCTACGAAATCCGAATTGTTGAGGTGAGATTAATTTAAAGTGTTCAAGATAATGGACCAGTCTACTGTTCACTATACGTTCTAAGACTTTAGATAAAGCTGGTAGTACGGCAATAGGGTGATAATTAGTAACTAAAGTCCCATCACCACCCTTGAAGATGGGATGAATTATAGACTTTTTTAAAGAGTTTGGAAAAATAGCATTTTCGAAACAGAGATTGAATATATGGCTTAGCACAGGTGCTAGCGTAGCAGAGTATCTTTTTAATATTGCGGAAGATATGGCATCCCAACCGGTAGCTACATTTGACTTTAAACTCTTTATGATTGATATTATTTCATCAGTATTGGGTTTTTCAAGAACAAAAGAAGAAATACATGTAAAGGATTGTGAAGAAGTAAACTGAGGTAAATTGTTAGACTTGATTATATTGTCCGCAAGCTCCTTTCCTACATCAACGAAAAATTTGTTAACATTATTGCATGATTGTTTTAGAGACCTTGCCTGTGTAACTAACTGACATGTTGCTTGTTTATTGTGGAATGTATTTGTTATTTTTTTGATAGTATCCCAAAGTGCTTTAGGGTTTTTTCCTGCTTTACTTATTTCTTGAGCATCATAATCTCTCTTTTCTTTCTTTAAAATTTTTGTGCAGAAGTTTCTATACCGCTTATAAGTGATAGACAGTGTTAAATTATTAGGAGACTTTTTTACTTTTCTATGCATTGAATCTCTATTTTTTATACACCTTAACAACCCCGGTGTCATCCACGGTTTAAGTATTCTATTTCTGGACGAGATTTTTTTAACTGATGAATTTTCTGCTATTGCATTCGATAATAGTTTAATAAGAGCTTCAGTTGCTGTATTAGGATCTAACATGGAATAAATGGGTGCTAAGTTAAGTTTTTCGACTGCTTTATCAAGATTGTCAAAGTTAACTTTTGAAATAGTGGAAATTGCATTATTTTTTTGTTTCGTTTTCGATACACAAAACAGAGCAATAATGGTCAGTGATAGTGGTGTCGAAAACCAAAACTACAGCCATGTATTTGGTGCGCAACATAAAGTGATCAATACAGTTGTCTCCTCTGGTTGGAAGGTTGTGAGCAGGAAGAAGACTATGGTATGCAAGACAATTGAGATATTCATGGCTGCGGGTATCTAAGGAAGAAGATTTTATATCTAGATTTATATCTCCAGTTATTATGACTGTCTTATATTTTGAAAGCGGTGTAAGTGTAGCGTTGAGTGTCGAAAGAAACTCCTTTATGTTTTCATTTGATGGTGATCGATAAATGCAAATAAGCACTGTATTTGAATCAATCGTAGCAATTAGTCCAGACGCTGTGTTATTAAAATTTATTTCTTCAATATTTACCAAATAACATGATTTAATGTAAATAATTACCCCATCACTTTGATTTTGGTGTTTACAAGTTTTGTACATAGTATAGTGCTGTATATAAGGAATATTTTGATTACTTGAGCAGGGCAACCAGCACTCTGTTAAGACCAACACATCGCAATCAAATGAGATTCGGTCAAGTAAGGTTTGTAAACTAAGAAAGTTGCAATTTATCGATCTTATATTTTGATTTAGTATCTTTAGGAATTTGTTTGGTTGTTTAATATAATGTTTAGCTTCTTCCGGAGTACAATAATAGGATTCACTTAATGTACACTGGTCTATACTGTCGATGTATGAGTTAATATTATTCGCCATTTTTATTGTAAACATTTATGACGTATAATTTGTATCTGTAAGAGAATAAGATTGCATTATTTATTTGAACAATAGACTGTACTGAGTAGGTGTAGTTAATTACACAAGCAAAAAATGTAAAAAATGAGGTATTTTTAAGTTGTAATTTACGGGCATACGTTTTGTAATGGTTAGTACAGCGTTCAACGTACAATAGCGTATATAATTTAAAGCAAGATGTATTATGTTGATTATGGTGAGTGATTATCAGGAGTAATGGAGTTTTTATGAAATGTTTAATTGTGAATACTGTACGAGTTAGGACGAGACTGATGAGTGAGTTTAAGTGTTTGTATGTAGTATGTTTTGTTTGTTGGTTTGTGAGTTTATGTAGTGTTTGTGTTAAGATCCTAATTTTTAAAACTAATCCTATAAATATTAATAAGAAAAACAATGAAATAAACCTTAAAATTAACATGCAGTAACGTAGTGAATAGTTAAAATGTATTCTAAGGCACAATGAAGCAATATCTAGTCATTCACATTTTAGATCCTCGAATTGGGCTTCATTTCTAATTAATATCGCAGGTGATCCGTCTGATTTTCGTATAAAAACTTTTCCGTTTGCAGTCCAGCAAAACTTGTACATTTTTTCTTTTGATAACTGACGTGCCAGATAGTATATTTTCTTCGTACTAGGGGTAAGGTGTTCGGATACATACACTGGAGAGGCACTAGTATTTATACCAAAATGCGACACATTGAGTTTTTTACTAGGGTTGTTTTTATTAAATGATTTTACAGGGCTAAGTATTGTCTGCTTTTGTGACATGTTTACTAATTCAACAATTATGGGTCTGGTGGAACCCTTTTTACCGGGGCCACGAAATATATCCTTAATATCACACGATTGTAAATTAATATTTAATGTTTTCGAGAGGTAGATCACTAATTGCGTTAAATCGTTTTTGTTTTCTTTTTCTTTTTCAGGAATATTATGTATCTCTATGCCATTTCTTCTGCTATTTCGATAGAGTTCCTCAACTTTTTCTTCCAGAGACATGATGTATTTATGATTATCTTTACATTGTTTTTCAAGCATTATTATTTTGTTTTGTATATCCTCATATTTCTGAGATATAAATTCCAGTGACTTTTCTATGTCTGTATTTATCTTTTTTTATATTTGTAAGACTATTTTCCATGTTAGATAGTCTGTTGTCATGATCAGCTTTCCATGACTTCAGCATTTGCATAACTTCTTCCTTGAACGAAAGAAAGTCATCCCTTGAGAGTTCATCGTGACGTCTTTTTTGTCTTGAAACTGCAACCGAAGAAGGGGTTTTCGGTAGTTTGGAGATATCGGAGTCTGATCCTGCTTTATTCGGTGAACGAAGCATGGTGATTTTTAAATATGTTGAGCAAAGCAATGATTTCCTGCAGATTAGCTATTTTATAATAGCAGGCGCTTCTTCAGCAAAGGCGGTGGGTGGAGCCAAAAATTATGCAGCCAATGCACGTTAGTATACACGCTGGCAATATACAAAGGGCGTAGCTTACCTCTTCAATGAAGCAGGATGGCACTACGTTACGAGTATGTTGCCCTGGTACACGCACGAATTTTTAGTATATTTTTGAAGAACTATTTTATTTATAAAAACAACACAATCACGGAGGATACATCTGTTCGCTTTCGCGGTCCGGAAGGAAGGATGTTCTGTAACATGTAATATTGACCTTCCCATCCAAGTAAACTATTATTGGATACTGCTTGACACAGCAACAGAATAAGTGAGACTTCTATTGTAGTGTTGAAAAAATGGAGAAGAAATCCACAAGATGAAAACTGAATTAAACGATCATAGCTGCGTCTACCCATTAGAACTAGCCGCAATGGTAAAAACCCAAATTATTATAAGTTGTAAACGAATTCTGAATAATTGAAGGATATACGTAAGTGACACTCAGTTTGCATAAGTTCTAGATAAAACTTGAGAAACCATTAAGTTTTTTGGATTAAAACTGATTGAGTAATCCAAGGGAATGAAAGAGCAGACGAATTGGCAAAATCTACCATAAAGACAGCACTATCTGTGACAGTATCCCACTGTCCATTGCAAAGCACCAAGAAACATATTGTTGCGCGCCTAAGTTGACGTCATGCACGCGGCACTAGCGCCATCTAGTGTCGGGGACGAGAGCGAGGAGAGTTTCCTAGAAAATGTCAATCTTGACTTTCAACCAACAGCGCCATCTAGTATCGAACAGAAGAATTAAGCTTTCTGGAAACTCGAACTTTCGACGCCTGGTCGGTTGGCGTGCGTATTTACTTGAATATTCTAGATGTTTCAGGAAAAAGGTGTATTTAAAGGCGCTGCAATACGCGATCGTAGCAGTATTGAATTTGGCGAGACAAGCGAAGCTTCGGAGCGAAATAAAGCGAATCAGTGTGATTAATTATTAGTGTTTTTAAGTTTTAATTGGTGTTCGGTGATTAAATTGTTAATTTTGGTGATTCAATCGGCAGTGTTTATTGTCGCGAACCCTAAGCTCGTAACAATTGGTGTCAGAAGTGGGATAAAATCATGCCGGTTTGACCAAAGAAGGAAACGGCGGGTGTCCGTACCCAAAGTTAACGCCAGCAGGAGACGGACCAAAGAAGATTTGGTGCTGCAACGCCGCAGACGTAAGAGGGCCAGCCGCCAGCTGCAGGGCCGTCAGTAGCTCCTACATCTGCATCACCTGACTTAGGTGCTCTGATGGTGATGGTGCAGGAACAGGCTCGCCGACAGGAGGAGCAGGCCCGGGGGTTGAAGGAGCAGCAGGAGGAACAGGCTTGCCGACAGGAGGAACAGGCTTGCCGACAGGAGGAAGAGGTCCGTCAGTTGGAAGAGCAACTGCGGGGCGGACAAGAGGAACGGGTCCGTTAGTTGAAAGAGCAGCAGGAGGAACAGGCCCGCCGACAGGAAGAGCAGATGCTCCTCGTGAAGTACATTCACGCTTGTATAATGTACTTCACATTCACGCTAACTTCGGAAAAGAGATAAGGGAGGTGAAGGTTAGGGTTGCTCAACATGACAACCGCCTGTTGGAAGCTGAAACCCAAATCAAGGAAGTTAAAACCCAAATCGACCAAGTGAACAATCGGGCTGATTACGTGGTGGCTGACGTGAAGAAAACGCTGGACGACCTCAAACTGGGGGATTTAATTACAGCTCGCGTAGTAGCTACAAAACCATCGCTACGTGGGTTCAAGGTGCCACCGGTCGACGGGACTTCTTCCGGGTCGGCCTACAAAATCTAGTTCGAAGCTGTTATGAACGATAACGGCTGAAATAAAAGTCAGGCCATGACTGCTCTCACTCTAGGCCTGCGCGACCAGGCCTTAACAGTTCTGGAAGCTCTCAGTGAGGAAGTGACTTATGAGCAGCTCCTTGAGGCATTGGAGGCGAGATATGGCGATGCTCACCTGGAACGCGTCTTTCGTGCGCAGCTTAAAGATTGCGTGCAGCGCATCAACGAAAACCTGCAGCAGTGGTCTCCAGAGGTAAAGAAGCTGGTGCGAAAAGCATACCGGTCCGTACCTGCGCTCATTGAAGGGAACCTGGTGCAGACATTAATCGATGGCATATGCCTAGTACTACTACTCAGCAACGAGTGGAAGGACAGATTACAACATGCACATCAGGAAGATCCGGACATCAAGCCGATTCTGGAATGGATGAAGGCCCCTGCTACCAAGCTTAAGCGGAGCGACGTCTCAGGGATGAGTTCGACCACTAAAAGCTATTGGGCCCAATGGGACAGCTTGCTGATTCAGGATGGAGTCCTGTGCCGTAAATGGGACAATGGTCGAGGAGACAGCTGTCTTTTGCAAATGGTTGTCCCTAAAGCTAAAGTACCGAATGTTCTACAGCTGAACCATAATGGTTGTTCAGGAGTCCATCTGGGAGTTAAACGAATTCTACTGAAGATCCTGAGACTGAGAACAGTTTTACTGGGTGCATTATCGTGACGATGTCGAGGATTGGTGTCGCACATGTGCAAGTTGTGCGGCTGTGAGGGGACCTCAGACACGTAGTAGAGGAGCATCGAAATTGTACAATGTTGATGCACCATGGGATAGGACAGCCCTTGACATTGCGGAGCCGTTACAGATAGGCGCAAGAAGGACTCGTAAGATCGTCCATGTGGATCGCCTGGCGCGTTATTATAGGACCGATAATGCTCGGGACAAACATGTCTTAGGAGGGGCAGTGTTGCGCGCCTAAGTTGACGTCATGTACCTGGCACTAGCGCCATCTAGTGTCGCGGACGAGAGCTAGGAGGGCTTCCTAGAAAATGTCAATCTTGACTTTCGACCAACAACGCCATCTAGTATCGAACAGAAGAATTAAGCTTTCTGGAAGCCCCACACTAGAATTTTCGGCGCCTTGTCGGTTGGCGTGCGTATTTACATGAATATTATGGATGTTTCCGCGAAAAAGGTGTATTTAAAGGCGCTGCATTACGCGATCAGAGCAGTATCGAATTTGGCTAGACAAGCGAAGCTTCGGAGCCAAATAAAGTGAATCAGTGTGATTAATTATTAGTGTTTTTAAGTTCTAATTGATGTTCGTTGATTAAAGTGTTAATTTTGGTAATTAAATCGGCAGTATTTACTATCACGAACCCTAAGCTCGTAACAATATATAAAGACGCGTAAAGTATGGATGAACAACCTGCTATAAATGTAAAAGAGACTTACCGACGAGGAAACTAGAATTGAACAATAACGATGAAGATGTTTTTCACATGTACTACTACAGCGACTGGTGTACCACAAGGTATCGTGTTATCTCCTACCGTGTTTGCAGATTTCATTAACTCTAAGTCACAACTTGTTCTCTTGCTACCACTTGTATACTGATGATCTGCGAATCTATACTCAGTCCACAGTAACTAAAATTGCGTTCAGTCTGTTTAGGCATAATTTTAACAATTTGCAACTTGGGACGGCACACGTTTTGAGCGGAAAACCGGTTTGACGGCGGAGCCGACGGGGGACTGGTCTCGATCTTCTTGGTGAGCGAGCCGTATCGTTCAGAGGTCGCGATTGTTTATGATACAATTACCGCGTCGAAAAGACGGCCTCCCTGGTTGTTGTATTTTGTCGTTATTATACGTGACAACGAGGCTTATTCTTGAGTTTAATTGCGCGACGCCCGGGTCGATTATACGTCGCGAGCCTCTTACAGTGTTATTTTAATTTGTTTTTGTGATAACGAGGCCGGAATTATATAATTATTGTTGTAACCGTTTTAAGTATTGTTTGTGACAGGTATACGGTTGCGGGTGGCCGGTGTTTGGATTTGAAGGCCTAAAGTTTGGTTAATTGTGCGCGCCATTTTGAATTACTATTGAACATAAAACATCTGGGTCTATTTAGACCGCCTCGAATTAAGTTGTCTGTTTTGGACGTGTTACGTGACAAGAGGCCTACTTGGAGTTTGGAGTTATTAGAGGAACTTTTATGCAGTAAATTGTATCGACGAGTTATTAGTGCTGCGTTTAACCTGTTAACCAAGCCTTGCTCACCTTCGATCGTACAAAACCAACCTTACGTCCGCCAAGTAGTGATCTAATTAGATCAGAATTATATACCTATGAAAAAACTATTTTTTCGTTTTAAACAAAACCAAAGACACTATGCAATAGATAATAGTACCAAAGACAAGGATATGCTCTTTTATTTTAAAACGTAACCTGGCAATGTTTCTTAGAAGAAAAAAAAAAGAATTCACTTTGCATTTCCGCCATTACGCGTCGCGCGTCGTGCACAAGTGCTGTGATACTTATAAACTAATTCATCATTTTGTCTGCGAGAACAACGTAAGTATTATACATTATTGTAATCCTTGTGATATAACAAACCTGTAGATATATAATTTGTGGCATAAAATGAAAAGTGAATGCTAAAAATAGTTTGAAATCGAAATGACGTAGAAAAGTTCAAACGAAATAGTAAATGTAAATGTCTATATTTTACGGATAAATCTAATTGAATACGGTAAAATTCTAATGAAATTACGAGATAATTTCATATTCTTCAAGATTTCGTTCATTTTCCCTATCAAAATTGTATCATAACCTATACAATTGTTCATAAAACAGTCCAATACCTATATAACAATTCAAATATTTCGCCATATTTAGCATATTTGGAGGGATTGCGCGAATTTTATCGATAAGGCGATCAATATGAAGATATTTACAAAAAAAAGTGATAAATTTTACGTATTTTTATTGTACAGACATGTGCTTCACTTTTTTTTCATTTGGATAAATTCAGTATGTATATAGCAATTTCTGCTGATATAATAACATAATATGACCCTATTGTCTATATATTCTCTGCTGAATATATATATATTTATCCCTATATATCATATATATATAATATAACATGAATATATATATAATATCATAGGCATAACTATGTACTATGGTATGTAACAATTATTATTTTCTTTTTTAGCATGTGGAACCCCGGAAACAACCCAGTTCCCCAGGTCTTCATCGATGTCCTTCTCGATGAGGAGGAAGCCGAAGAAGTGGTCATCGAGGAAGAGGCGGTCATCGATGAAGAGGTTGGGGAACAAGGTGACTGGGATGTATCTGTAAGTAATATTTATATGTAACATCACACACAAGTATAGATAAATAGACACTTATAGATATTAACGGGTTCATTTTTCAACAGAACATGCCAATGTACTATATGCGGTCCAACGGGTCATGGGGGGACCTGTTGGAGTTGGTGGTAGAGCCTGCGGAGGTGTCTGTAAGTTATATCTATAGCATCAGTCATTTATTTATGTTTATTATATATAAATGTTTGCAGCCCAATAAAAATGTGTTTATTATTTCAACAGGGGTCACCTGCTCCGGCTCCGGCTGCAGCTCCAGTGGCTGCTCCGGAGGCTGTACCAGGCCCCGCACCCCGCAGAGTGGAAGTAAGTATAACAAAACATCAGTAATGAAACGTTTCTATGTAAATTTTTATATTTCAGCTAGTATTTATATAAATATTTATTTATATTTATTATATATAAATGTTTGCAGCCCAATAAAAATGTGTTTATTATTTCAACAGGGGTCACCTGCTCCGGCTCCGGCTGCAGCTCCAGTGGCTGCTCCGGAGGCTGTACCAGGCCCCGCACCCCGCAGAGTGGAAGTAAGTATAACAAAACATCAGTAATGAAACGTTTCTATGTAAATTTTTATATTTCAGCTAGTATTTATATAAATATTTATTTATATTTATTATATATAAATGTTTGCAGCCCAATAAAAATGTGTTTATTATTTCAACAGGGGTCACCTGCTCCGGCTCCGGCTGCAGCTCCAGTGGCTGCTCCGGAGGCTGTACCAGGCCCCGCACCCCGCAGAGTGGAAGTAAGTATAACAAAACATCAGTAATGAAACGTTTCTATGTAAATTTTTATATTTCAGCTAGTATTTATATAAATATTTATTTATATTTATTATATATAAATGTTTGCAGCCCAATAAAAATGTGTTTATTATTTCAACAGGGGTCACCTGCTCCGGCTCCGGCTGCAGTTCCAGTGGCTGCTCCGGAGGCTGTACCAGGCCCCGCACCCCGCAGAGTGGAAGTAAGTAATAAATATATATATATATATATATATATATATATATATATATATATATAAATGTTTATATATTATATAAATTTATATATATTTATATAAAATATAAATATTTACTTATGTATATAAATGTATATATATATAAATATTTATATATATATATATATATATATATTATATATATATATGTTATATAAATTTACATATATTTACTTATGTATATAAATGTTTATATATATAAATATTTTTATATATATATATGTTTATATAAATATTTATTATATATTATATAAATTTATATATATATATATATATATATATATATATATATATATATATATATATATATATATATATATATATATATATATATATATGTGTGTGTGTGTGTTTGCAGCACAATAACAACGTGTTCATTTTTCAACAGTATTTACCTGCTCCAGAGGGTGCTCCAGGCCCCGCACCCCGCTTCGTTGTAATGTTGGGGTTCCTAATGGGTGTTATTCAAGGAAACGACTACATTAGTTACGTACTATTTAATGAATGCCTGGTAATAATCTAAAATAATGCATATAAGGTATAGTGCAAACTCAGCATACATACGGTTATAAAGTAGCGTACTCACTTACTAAACTAAAGGAGCATACATATTAGACTTACACTTCACCTCCCGAGGACATAGAAAAAAAAAGAATTAGGTACATTCTTTTTTTTTACATAATTTTTACTAGATATTTACTTGAAGTATCATCTTTTAAAATAATAGTGTTTAATAGACATAAGTTACTTATTACAAATAAAATGGTACATACGTTTATTCTTATCATTATACATTGCAATGTTATCTAAAATTAAATCTTACATTCAAATCTATTGACAAAAAGGCCTAGTCCTATTCTTATGTACTAATTCAATTTTATTATTTTTAATTATTTTTACGTTACAACCTAAATCTTCCATAACTGTATAGGGACCTTTAAATATTGCATCTAATTTACTACGTGCTTCATTTTTTACTAAAACCAAATCATTTTTCTCATATTTTGCAGAATTGACAGACTTATCATATATTTCTTTCCGTTTATGCTTATTAATCAGCAAATTTTTCTTTGCATCTTCATGAGCTAATTGTAACCTGTATTTTAATTGTAATGGATAATTATCTATATTATACAATGGTTCTACGGTATTACTTATGCTATCGGGTATTTGACAAAGTTTTCCAAAAACAAGTTCATATGGCGTGTAATTTGTTTCTGAATGGACTGTGTTGTTAAAACTGAAGCACCAAAATGGTAACCAATAGCTCCATGTATCCGTATGATTGTCACACTGGATCCTTAAAAATGCACCCAAAGTTTTGTGAGCATTTTCAAGAGCCCCAATCGACTGATGGTGATAGGCTGTAGTAAATAATTTTTCTATATTAAGTATTTTACAAACCTGTTCCATGGTTGCAGAAATAAATTCTGTTCCTCGATCTGTAGCTATTGTCGTCGGAATACCAAATCTTAATATGAACTGTCTAACAAATGCATCTGCAATGGACACTGTTTCTTTGTTTTGCAAAGGAATAGCTTGTACAAATTTTGTTAACTCGCATTGCATAGTCAATATATAACAATTACCATTTTGGGCATAAATACCAATTAAATTTAATTACCATTTTCGTCTCTATCTAAGGGTCCCACTACATCTAAGTATATCTTTTCAAAAGCCGAGGAAGCTGTTGTGGTAATTTCCATCGGTTCTTTTGTGTTACGAAAATATTTATGTTTCTGACATTTTGTACACTTTTTAACAAATTCCTGGACATCCTTGTCGATACTTGGCCAATAGTATCGACTTTTGATTGTATTTATCATTCTGCGCACTCCAGCATGACCGCTGGATGGCAGTAAATGAAAGTCATTCATAATAAGTGTCTTTTCGTTGTCGTCATCTATTCTTTTTACGCCTCGTAATATGCATATTCGCGGTCCGGACCAATTACTAAGTGTTGTTATTTCATCACAAACACTTTTGATAAATTCTATATTATCATTATTTTTAATTATACACACTTCAGTGATACGTATCTTTTCACAAAAATTGCTTAATTTCTGCACAAATTCAGCTCGCGAGAAATGCGCCTTGAAATCAAGATTAATGTATAGTGTCTTTTTACCCTCTATAAATGTAAAACATTCAAATTCTTCAGTTATCAAGGCATTATCTCTAATTTGTTTTAATTTGTTGCCTTCAATCAAACACATTTCTACTGAATCACACGGTTTTCTTAATATATCCACAACTCTTGGTTGATCAGGCCAATTGTTAATGGATTTATTAAGATCCTTCTTTTCATCGTCATTCTTACTCTTACTTAACTCATTCAGCTTTTTCTTTTGCGCTCTGGTCATTACAGCCATTACTTGTTCATTCATACTTTTAAGTTCATCAGACGTTATACAAACTCTCGATAAAGCATCTGCCACAACATTGTCTCTTCCTTTCACATAGACTATTGTAAACTTATATTCTTCTAAAGTTAATCGAAATTTAAGTAATCTACTTGACGGATCTTTCATACCAAAACGATATATTAATGGTTTGTGATCTGTCATTATGGTGAATTTGTTTCCATACAAGTATGGTCTGAAATACTTAACGGACCACACTATTGCCAAAAGTTCTTTTTGAATAGTTGGGTAGTTTCTTTCTGCTTTATTCAAGGGTCTACTGGCATATGCAACTGGTCTGAGATCTTTATTACATAATACAGAATCAATAGCAGTAGCCGAGGCGTCTGTTTGTAAAATAAATTCATGATTTTCGGAAAAATCGGGATACTGTAAAATTGGTGATGATATTAAAGCATTTCTTAAAAATTCAAAAGCGTTTTGACATTCATCAGACCAAATAAATGGTTCATTTTTCCTACTTAACTTATTCAAAGGTATTGCTATATCCGAAAAATTTCTTATAAATTTACGATAATAGTTGCAGAATGCTACAAACCGTTTTACTTCATCTGCATTTTTTGGAGTAGGATAATTTCGTAATACTTTTGTTTTTTCTGGATCTGGTAAAACACCTTTTTCTGTAACCAAATGTCCTAAATAAAGAATTTCTTTCTTTAAAAATTCACATTTCTGAGGATTTAGTTTTAAATTTACTTGTCTCAATCTCTCCATGACAGTTATTAAATTTTTGTTATGGGAAGACAGATTTCTTCCAAATACAATGAGATCGTCCTGATATACTAAACATTTATCGTAAGTTAAACCAGACATCGCTACAGACATCATACGACTAAAGGCATTAGGGCTGATCTTTAAACCCATTGGTAAACGCTTCATGCAATATTGACCAGTATTTGTAGTGAAAGCTGTTAATTTACGACTACTAGGCTCTAAACTTACTTGATAGTAACCTTGGTGAAGGTCAAGATGAGTAAAATAAATGGCTCAAGTAAGCGTATCTAAAATTTCATTAATATTTGGTGGAGGAAATTTGTCGTCACAAATAACCTCGTTCAGTTTTCTGTAATCTACAACTAAACGCCATTTTTTCTCATTACCTTTGCTACTTTTCTTAGGTACTAATAATATTGGACTGGACCATTCACTATTTGACTCTTTGATTATATCATTTTCTAACATATTCTCAACTTGCTTAGTTATTTCTGGTTTTAGTGCCTGTGGTAACCTATAAGGCTTGACGTAAACTGGAGTGGAGTTTTGTTTTAAAACAATAGATGGCTCATAAATATTAGTTGTCGTTAACTTATCTCCTTCCAAATGAAAAATGTCAGAATATTTTGCACAAATTGCTTCAATTGATTGTTTCTCTTCTCCGTCTAAATAATTTAAATTTAATTCAGATAGCAAAGTTTTAACCCTGGTAACGTCAATATTGGTCTTATTAAATTGACAAATATTATAATTATACAAACTTTTCAAATCTGGTGTGAAAGATGGCAAGTTTACGTCCTTGTCACTAACATTAAGTATTTTAACTGGAATTCTACTATTACTAACTGTAGTTATTGCGTTTGCTATAAAGACATCCTTCGTTAACTCTTTACTACATACTACTACTTCTCCAGTTACATCCTCATTCACAATAATGAAATGAATTGATTCCGAGCGTGCTGGAATAATCATAGAGTTTTTCATCCTATCATGTTCATCAACAAAATGTAGATAATATTGTTTATTACTGTTAAAAAGTGTTAAATTATTTGAACCTAAATCAATATTCGCACTAAATTTTTCTAAAAAGTCTAAGCCTATGATTCCGTCTGCTTTTAGTGGTAGCGAATCAAAAACAAGAAAAATTGTGCTGAAACGTGGCATTTTCGTATTTTAATATTAAATTTACAGAACCTTGAGATCGTCGCTGACCACCTATTCCATTTATTATAGTATTATCTCTATTAACAATGATATCTTTTGGCAGTACTTCATTTTTAATAATTGACAATGTTGCACCCGTATCAATAAGCCAATAGTATTTAATGTTTTTAATATAAAAAGTAACATATTTCGCATCACCTTGTAATGATAGTATAAAATACTTAGGATCGAAAAAACTGATTCGATGTACCTGCATTGTCGTCTTTATCGCATTGATGAGTGTCAGCTACTTTTTCTACTGGAAATGAGTTTTGACCTCGTCCACGGTTCCTAACATATCTAGAGCCTCTATTTCCTCGTTGATTATTATATGAAGGACGATAAGTTGCTCTAGAATTTCCGCTAGAACCTTGTCCTTGATTGTAGTGGTTATTAAATTTATGCCCACGATGGTAATTGTTACCATATTGACTACGGTAAATTCCTCTTTGACCTTTAGAACGTCTAATATTGTGTGCCGAGTGGCGTCCATTTTTAGATGCATACAAAATGTTACCTGGTGGTTGGAAAGACGTGCACTCCTCGTCTTTTGCTGCTTGTATGGCATCTTTCAAGCTGCTGAATCCGCGTGCTGAGATGACGGTGCTCATTTTTGCGCTACGCAGGCCATCTGAAAAACGTTTTATGGCAAAACTTTCATTGATTGGTTTTAAAATCGAGAATACTTCCTCTTTTCCATCTGCTTGAGTAATTGTCAACTCTATAAATAACGTTTCTACCTCCGTACCATAATCCTCAATGGATCTCGAGTCTTGTTGAATATTCTGAAGCTTCGTCTGTATAGCCGTAAATGATTTTTTGGGTAAAAGATATTTCCTCATATCATCAATTAATTCTTGGATAGTTTTGTATGAGTTTGCAATTCGTAATTTTGCATTTTCATTCAACCGACTTTTCAAAACAAAAGTAATTAATAATACTTTACCTGGGTTGTCCAGCATGTCAGCATACATCTCCACTGAGTCTATTAGGCGCTTAGTGGTGGCCTCTACACCGTCCATTACTGGAATCAAACTACACGCCACCTTTATGTCAAAATCCATTTTGCCTAAATCTACTGTAACGGGAAAAGTACACAATTTTTCTATTTCCTCGTACTTTTGTTTTATTTTCTGATAAAGATCTATTGCCGATTCCAAATTAATATCTTTACTTTTTTCAATAATTAAATATATTTTACAACAGTTTTCATATTCGCTTTTTGCTTGATCTAACTTAGTTGAAATAACATTACCCTTATATCTAGTTTGTCCCTTTTTTACTAAATAATTACGTATTTCTACTAAACAAACATAATTTTTTTCCAAAATATCAACCATAATATTCTTAATTTAATAATAGAATTGCACAAATGTAACACATTCTACATAAATGCGAAGAAGAAAAAAAAGTCCGACGTTGCATTTTGTTTCCGTTTGGTGTCTTATTACTGAATGTCCGCGCGCGGTTTTAGCACCTTTAGAATTATAGCGTTATGAAATATGATACCGCATAACTGGCTCACTCACTGATATTTATTATTTTTACGAAAAAATTAACAACCCACAACACTTATTTTCACTTTCACTATGCATTCACTTCTAATTACTGATTCTGGTTACCTTCTGTGCGCCCTCTGATGGATGATCTGATTCTCTGCATGGTACTCATCCCAA